GAGGAAGTTACATTTAAAGGACGAGAGCGTCCTCTGTTTTACCCAACAATATAAATCCTGCATGCACACTGTCAATATATTCACATAAAACAAACAGGTTTTCAGTCTTCAACCTGTGCGTCCACAGCAACATGTTGTTGATGTCTCTCTGTTCTAGGGATGGCTCAGTACAACCTTTTTAATGTCCAATACGGATACCAATACTGCAACTTGGAGTATCTTCCGATACCAATATCAATCCGATATCTTCTTTTCTTCCCCAGCATGCCTTTGGTTATCGGATTGTACAGGCTATAGTCGTGTTTTTCTTGATGTTTAATCATGACATTTTGACCAGTTTCGGACCAATGGATCGAGCCTTCCCTACCCTGTTTGAACAATACATACATTATTTTTGTCATTTTACAGAAAGGTTGATATCTGCCAATTATGTGGGCAGTGGTGGAGTCCACCAGCTGCCAAGTTACCACTGAGGTGCTCTGAGCATGGCACCGTCCCCACACACTGCTCTCCAGGCGCTTAAAGCTGCCCACTGTTCACTTTGGTGGTGGGTTAAAAGCAGAGTACAGATTTCGTTGTGTGCAGTGTGCTGTGCTGTGTCACAATGACAAGTAGTTCTCTTTTCTTTATTCATGATTTGCGTTCGTAATTAATCGTGATTAATCCGATTCCATATATATATATGGTTATTTTCCAGTTCTTCATATTTCTAAGGCTCTTGTCAAATAAACCTTTTTCTTCATAATTGCATTCACTCTTACATAACCAGTGCCCAGTCACCGCTCCGTGTGCTGGTAGCTTGACAGCATAATTTCTCCTCACCTGGTCTACATGTTAATGTTTTATTCAGAGGCTCTCTTCTCTCACAAACATTACTCTCCACTGCTGTCTTTTGTGAGTGCTTGTGGTGCCGTGTACTTTTGTTGCCACTCAACCATATCTGCTTGTCGCCATGATGGAGGTTATTCTGCTCTTAATGCTGGAAGTTTCATCCACATGCATATGCATCTCATATCAAGTATGATCTGAGTGCTGTGTAGGCACCTGTACAGAAAAGGTCCAGGGATTTTTTTTCATTCTTTATAATTGCAGTGACCACTGAAGGGTCATTTTGCTGATTTGAAGCAAACTTCACTCCTGAAGCAAGAAGTGGAGCCAATGCTTGTCATCCAATCAGAGCCATGAGATCCATTTACAGGAGCTTGGCCTTCGTTCAATCCTGTACATTTCTCAGTTAATGCAGCCTGATAAATAATGACTTATATCAGTGTTTCCCAAACTTTTCTTTCTGGGGACCCATATTTTAAAAGTCTGTAGACTTGATTCGTAAACTCCTGGGAAACGTGATGCAAGACGACCCAAAAAAAAAAAAAAAAATCTCTTGCGTCCCAGTCTTTGGGAAAAGTTCATCATGTACGCTGTGTTTCATACCAGCCTTATACCGGCACATACGGTTCCTTGCCATAATCTTTGTATTTAAGGGTTTATCATTTGAAGCCCACACTGATGTCCCCCTCTGTGTGAGCTTCTGTCAATATTTTTTAATTAAGTCTAAAACTAACTAATACCATTACCTGTTTGAGTAGTTACTGCTCATGAAATGTTCGTTGCATGTACTTGAGGAAATATGCAAATTAGTGAAACATTTCAAAGGAATAACAATACAGTGAGTCAGTTGTTTTTACGTGTTGCTAGGCAACATTGCCATTTTACCATAACCAAACAGAACAAGTACAACTGAGTAAATCACGCAGTGTTGTGTTTTCGGTGACTCTGGAGTCACTTAAAGACATTTCTATTATGACTGTATTAGTATGAAGAATTACATGTTTAGTATGGATTTTATAATTATGGATTGTGGGAATCAGTCAGATTCTACATGATACTGCTTTCATTTGGCTGTCTACAAACACTTCTTCATACATACTTCTGAGCCAACATTTGTACTGTTAGTGATGTGTAGGATAGAGGAAACACTATCTCTCCATAGTACTTTCATTATTTTTACTCTAAATAAGCCACTTGATGATGCTAACATCTCCAGTGAACTTCTTGTGGACTAGTTTTTAGAGCTGCACTTTTCAGGTCAGTAGTTAAACGCGTAAATGGGAAATTACGTTCGAGTGGGCTCCGCATTCTGGATGTGGACGATGTTAGCGGTGTTAATATTGCACGCCGTCCCTGTGGGATGCGTTTTATCCATTGACCTTAAAGGAGATGGAGATTATGCCTGCTGTAGTTCATCATGTACGCTGTGATGCATTAAACAAAGTGTGTGATACACACTGAAACAGTTAATGGTTGGATTAACTCTTCATTTTCGCTGTTTAAAGACATGTAAAATTATTCTTTGTTGTTTTTCTCTCTTCTGAGGCACTGATACATGTCAAGATAATGATCTGTAGGAACAGCGATAGTTAACATTCACATGAGGAAACAAAACAGCCAAAGCTGTAAACCAACCAGTAAACAGCCCCGGGATATTTAAAGTAGTGGCCAACAACCTGTTATTAAAAATCAGGATTTTCTAGAACTAGGAGGCTACGACATCTTTCTGAGGAAAACACAACCTTGTAAAAAGTTATTACACAATAGTGTATATTTGTTGGACAACACTGGA